ATGCTGAACGGCCCCAGCCCGGCCCCATCGGCATCCTCCCAGCTCCACCCCTGTGCCCGGGGCCTCGCATGGCGCGGGGCCCAGCAGACCTGCAGGGCCCGCTCGTCCAGGGGGCGGTGCTTGCTCTGGATCCTGTGGCGGGGGCGTCTCTGCAGGCTGGGGTCCTGGGCGCCCGCGAAGATGGAGCTGTATTCCTGCAGGTGCTCTGGGGCGGGGTACTTAGCGCTGGAGAACACCTGTGGACACAGGGACGCAGCTGAGGCGCCCAAAAGGCTCCAGGGGGCTGGGGTGTGTGGTCGGGCCGGGGCGGGGCTGGGACCCCGGGTGGAGGAAAGCCAGGGTGTGGCTGGGCAGCGAGGGCAGGGGATCAGGCGGCCTCAGAGGCGTGGGGAGAGGAAGGGACGCCCCGGCCGCGGGACCCAGGGCCGCACGGGCTACCTTGATGGCTTTCTTGCTGCCCTTGATCTTCTCGATCTTGGCCTGGGCCAAGGAGACCCTCTCCCCGATGGCCTGCAGCTGGCGTCGGCTCAGCTCCACTCGCTGGGAGATCCTGCCACGGAGAAGACCATGGAGGCTGGGAGCTGCTCTACCCCCGCGGCCCGCCTGCCCCTGGCAGCAGGCCTGCCATGCCAGGATCTTGGGCAAGAGCCCTGGAGTCAGCGTCACCTGCTTGCCAGGGCTGGCCTTGTGCTGCTGGTGACCTCTACAAGGATAACGCGACTTGAGGCATCTGGGAGTTACCCATCCTGAGTCCCACGGAGCCCTGGGGGGGGACGGGCAGCCACCCTGGCTGAGCTGGCACCTGCACATGCCACTGAAGGACCTGGCTCCTGCCTCCAGAAGTTTGCAGCCTCAAGTGGGGCCACACACAGAGAGCCGTCATGCTCGGGTGCACACAGCTACTGACAGTGTGGTCAAGGTGCACTCACACGCCCCTTCTGCTCATGGGAGGTGACAAAGCTGGCCTCTGCAGAGGACACGGGCTCCTGGAGCCTGAGAGTGGCCAGGCTGGACCTGAATGCCGTCTCCTCAATTCAAGCCCTGGCCTTGCTGACAAGCAACTGCCCCTGCAACTGCCCCCGGCCACCCTGAGTGGCTCCCGCGAGCACACCCGGAGTCCGGCCGCGCCCACCAGGCTCCGCACCTGCTGCCCCCACGGTGACACCAGCCGCCCTGCTGTTCCCTGGACGTACCAAGCGCACTCCTGTCTCAAGGCCCCATGCATCACGCAGAACACCGTTTCCACAGACACCCGCGAGGCCGGCCCCTCCACCACACTCTCCTCCTCGCAGGCTGCCCGACCGCGGGTGCGAGGCCGCAGCCCAGCCCCGAGCCTCCGGTCCTGTGCCCTGGGCCACGGCACACCTCTTGCCTGTGCGTGCCCTGGGTCGGGGCCGGCCCTCGTCCGCGGCTGCGGGCCGGGCCGGGGCCTGGCACAGGGGAGGGGCTCGCTGGACGGCTGCTGATGCCTAAGGCCCGGGTGCCCTCAGCCCGTGTTCGTCTTTCCTCACTGTGCGGCCACAGGGGGCTGCTCTCACTGCAGAGGCAACTCTGACTCACGTGGGCTGCGGTGGCCTCCTCCCAACCACTCTGCAGCTCCCCCGCCACCAGCCCAGTCTCGGCCACAACTGCCACGCTCCATGCTCGCAGTGGCCACCTCTCAGCATCTCCCGAGATACGAGGCACGAGGAGGCAGAGGCACAGGTGTGACTCATGGGGCAGGTGGGGCGAGGGCGGAAGCCCCTCTCACAGGGCTGGACACTCCGGGGCCAGGGAACACTGGGGTTTCTTTTTTTGGTTTTTGAGTCGGAGTCTCACTCTGCCGCCCAGACTGGAGTGCAGCGGCCGCTCCCGGCCACCGCAGCCTCGGCCTGCCGGGCTCCGGCGATCCTTCCGCCTCAGCATTCCGAGGAGCCGGAATTACAGGCGCGCGCTCCCACGCCCGGCTGAGTTTTTGATTTATTGTAGAGATGAGGTCTCGCTGCCCAGGCAGGTCTCGAACCCGCAGGCTCAGGCAATCCATTCGCCTCAGCCTCCCAAAGGCGCGGGATTACAGGCTGAGCCACCGAGCCCGGTGACTTCTTTTCTTTTCTTTTTTTTTTTTTTTTGAGTTGGAGTCTCACTCAGTCGCCCAGACTGGAGTGCAGTGGCCGCTCCCGGCCACCGCAGCCTCGACCTGCCGGGCTCCGGCGATCCTTCCGCCTCAGCCTTCCAAGTAGCTGGAACTACAAGCGCACGCTACCACGCCCGGCTAGTTTTTTGACTTGTAGAGATGAGGTCTCGCCAAGTTGCCCAGGCGGGTCTCGAACCTGCGGGCTCAGGACGCTGGGGTTTCTGTAGAGGCTGGCATGGGCCCAGTCCGCGTGGAGCTTGTTTTGCTGCCTGGTTGTAGAGAGTCATGGCCGAGGGGGCACTTGGTGTTCGGGTCGTCATGGCTGGCTACGAATACGTGAGTGCAGAGCCGCTGGCTGGCTTTGATAAGCACAAGACAGCGCGGCCAGTAGATGCCCCCCTCCCTTGTCCTGGCCTCGTCCGGGAGGGTTGAGGGGCTGGTGCGGTCCACATCACCTTGTGCCGTGTGGCACCTGGAGGGCTGGTGGGCGTTTCTCCGGGAGGCCTGCAAGTCTTGGGGGCGCAGGTCGGGAAGCACGGGAGCACCCCAGGCCCGCCGGCCCGACTTGGCACCCACCAGGAGATTTCCTTCGGAGAGCAGGGGGTGATAACAGAGCGAGGGAAGTCCCTTCCTTTTTCTTTTCTTTCTAACTGATGTGTTATCATCTTTATGTCCCTCGAAGAGGTGCGGGGCCTTCTGTAGGGTCTTAATTGTCTTCCTCTTGATGAAGTCTTACTCGCCTTTCTTGCATGCAACTTCAGAGACGGGGACAGTTGTGGGACCGACGAGGCCTGGGAAGGGGAGTGGCTTACGAGGCTTTTCTGCGCGTGCCTCACTTGTGCCCCCGGGAGAGGTGTCCTCAGTGGCGCTGGGGGCGCTGGAGCTGCCAGACGACATGCACGGACACGGCAAGGAGCTGCGCACCAAAAAGAACATGGGCCTTCGCGTACATGTATGCCAACGTCGCAATCCTTGATTTCACTTTGCGCCAGTCCTTCTAGCCCCACTCTGTCCCTCTTTGATGTTTGTAAACTGGGAACAAGCGTTGACCAGAAGGATCTGAATAGTGCCTGGCACGTAATGGGGCCCCCCAGTGAATGTGAGTTTGTTAACTTAAAAAAATAAAAGTTGTCTCGAACCCGCAGGGCAGGCGAGACCTCATCTCTACAATAAATCAAAAAATGAGCTGGGCGTGGTAGTGCGCGCCTGTAGTTACTTGGAAGGCTGAGGCGGAAGGATCGCCGGAGCCCAGCAGGTCGAG